TTCCAAAAATACAAGGGTGATCATTTAAGAAAACTATTAATGGCACACAAGCTTCTAGCATATTTTTTGTGGGATCTCTACTGAGTCCTGCTGGTAAATACACAATATCAATCATTCCAATCAATTGTGTGCTTATTTAATCAAAAACGTTTATAATATACAGTAAATTTGCAATTCAGCTCTACAGATATCCAGAATGTTTGAATAATGAGGCTAGAAAACTATAATTACTCTTTGATCTGAATGGAGGTCTTTTATCTCATTTGTCTCATGAGATAATATCTTACTGGACTGTACCTTCCTCCTATCTAAACCACTTTAAGAATCCATTACGCATCAGAGCATCAAGCACTTAGTAAAGTAATGAATAATAAATACTTGTTGTGCATCACACTCCCGTTTTCAGGATGTCTGGCCCTCATACCCTACAAACTTCACATTCTGCTCTTCACCACATGTGATTTTTTTTCCTTAATAATCTGCTACGTATCCAAATGCCACAAGGTTTTTTTTTTCTATTTTAAAACAAAACGTAATATGATGACATGAGGTTTTTGATCAGGTTTTCATTTACTGCCATGGTTTTTCCTAGCTGTTCGCTAGAATTACTGCTCTCGCTACAAGAGAAACTCCTGCGACTGACACGTTAAAAATTAAAATAAAAAAACAATTATTAACAATTCCGCCTATTTAGAGATATGTCTGTTAGAAACTAAAGTCAATAAGAACAATAATTGAGGGGGGGGAGGGAAGTTTCAACTTTTAGTTAAGTCAGCGGAACAGCTCGTCAGTAGCCTAAGTTAGAAAAACTTGTTACTGCCATGTCGGGAATCGCTTCGCGGCGAGCGAGCAATCTCGTTTATCGCTAACTCACAGAAGTGCTACATCTTCAGCGAGTAAAAACGTCGCGACGACCCGCTTTTCCATCAAACCCTTGACTCCCCTGGTTACACTTTACTCCCTGACCGATTATATGGGTGGGAGTAACATAATTGTTTTGTTTCCGTGGCAGCTACACGCCACAGCAGTAGTACTGAGCAGCAGCAGCACCAACCCAGCCTGACCTCTCTCGCAGTGCAGCTGCAGCGAGACCTCGCTTCCTCCGGGTTATCACAGATGGCTTTCCCCTCCAAACCCCCGTAGCGCCACCAGCTTTCTCCTCTACTAAATGCCCACATGCATGGCCGCATCCCCCTTCTTGAAAATGCTGTCAATGGTTAAGTAAAAAAAAAGTGATGCGCTCCTGTATTGGCACTGACCGTAGAGCTCCTCTTCCATGCTTGCCAGGTGCACACGCGTCCTGCTCGCCTCTGGCTGTCTCCGGGCGCCGGTCAGGAGGAGCAGCTGCAGTCCAGTCCCCTCGGTTTTCTCTCACGCTTCCTGCCCTCCGTATCTCTCTCTTCTGCCTCTCGTCTTGCCTCTTCTGTCGGGTCTTTGGGGGGGTTTCTAGTCTCTCTCTCCCCGTCTTCCGCGCTTCTCGCCGCCGGCTTGCTGGTAGTAGCACCTTCACATAAGCGCTTTCATGCTCCGTGCTCGCTAGGGGGCGCCCGTCCGTCCGTCTTAGTGATGTGATGTCACCAGCCGTAACCTTTTTTTTTAAAACTCTTTGCTATTTTAAAACATGCTGACATGAACTGTGATCACTCCGTTACCAAACACGCAAGCAAACCCAGTTCTACCCTATATGCGACACTGTCTTTGTTTTTTTTAAAAAAAACACACGCGTAAATGATTCAGGAAAATGGACGGTAACACTTAACGCTCGGTAAATACGTACCCCTCCCAAGCAGTTAAAACGATTAGATCATAAATTCTGTCACCACCGACTTAAAATAGCGACGTGAAACTCTAGCCGTGCCTGCAATCTGCACCCTGCCGGTTATAACATTACATGATCTGTCCGGTAAATGAATAAACAGAGGTGATCCGAGTCACGTGTGAAATACTTGCTCTAGGATTCAAAGAAGGTAACCTATCCTTTTTTTTTACATTTGGAATTTAGTCCACGCTGAGTTACAATTTCGTTTCAACATCGATCTCGTAATGATTATTATTTTTTTGCATCTGGTGGTCTCAATGCATTTCCTGCAGTTATAATTAACGTGGCGTGAAGAATCTACCACAAGATGCAACCGAACTGTAAACGACAAATTAATTTGATCGGTTTAGAAGATAATTGCGCGTCTTTTACGTCCTCGTATCACATTTATCTGAAATTGTGAAATATAACTAATCCAATGATAGCACCGACGGTGCTCTCTCTGTGATTAACCAAAGAGGCTTAAGCACTAAATGTAAACCCAGCTCTTGGTGGAAGTTTTAATACGCTTGAAACTAGGCTCCCATCTTTGGCTGGTGCAGACACACCACAGAGGTTTATTTTTATTCGGTGGGTAGAAACAGATTCGAACAAAACAGAATCGGACTGGTGGAGCCCCAGCTGGAAAACTACAGGAACATCGAAAATGCAAAGGTTAAAAATCACCCTGCAGCTCACCGCTGACAGCCCACTGAAGCTCAGCAGGTGTGAGCCTGGCCAGTACCTGGAGGGGAGACTCCTGGGAAAGCTAAGGCTGCTGCTGGAAGAGGTGTTAGTGGGACCAGCAGGGGGCGCTCATCCTGCGGTCTGTGTGGGTCCTCATGCACCAGTACGGTGACGGGAACACTATACTGTAAAAAGTCGCTGTACTTAGGATGAGTTGTAAAACCAATGCCCTGACTCTCTGTGGTCATTAAAAAGCATTTCTTGAAAGGAGTAGGGGTGTCACCCTGGTGTCTTGGCCTTTACAGATCACCACCGTAGGCTTTATCACTCTACTCCTCCTCACTGATAGCTGGTGTGTGGTGTCACGTCAGCCAGGTGGGGCTGCACACTGGTGGTGGTGGAGGGGATCCCCATTACCTGTAAAGCATTTTGAGGGGAGTGTCCAGAAAAGCGCTATATAAGTGTAAGGAATTATAATATACTAGCTTCATGGCTTTGTGTTTTACTCTCATAGGAGAGATTAACAAAGCCTATGAGTTGCAGTGCAGAAAAGGGGTACGTGTCTCCTGGTCTGGACTCAACCGTTGAGGTTGTGTGTGAGTGTGCACAGCGGTTGTACCTTTTAGTGCTACAGCACATCTCATTCTCTCATTCCAGTAACTTCAGTAAAAATGGCCTGCTGAACAAACACTGAGATACCTTGGAGAAAAATCAGCAGCCAAGCAATCCTAAAGCAGTGGCTTGCGAGCGAAGACTGACAAGGAAAGACATTGTGCATTCTGGCCGTCAGCCCCTGTCACCTTGACGAATGGCGTCATTCATCACAGGCGCTGAAGGTCCCTGTGACACGTCTGAATGTCATGAGCCTTCGTTACTGGAAAGGCTGCAGCGGCCCCCAACATCTGGGCTTAGACACAGGGAGTGTCGCCAGGTTTAAAGGAAGGTGGGAAGGAGGGAGAAGTGAACTTGCTTGATTTTGTCAAAAAAAAGGCACATATGTGGATCTTTGCCAGGTGGGATGACTATCTTCCCATCCCACCCCCTCTCTCCCCCTAGAGAGCCCAGCCACCCGGATCTGGAGTTGGAGCAGTAGGCCTTGTCCCATGCATCTGGAGTCGCTGTGAACAGACCCATGGCCACTGTAGGGCAACAGGGAACACTGTGCTGTGGGAGGCACAGGCCATCCTTGGGGGATGTTCATCTGATGTCCTGCAAGGTCAGTGAAATAAAAATCCCGTGGCCCTGGTTTTAAGAGCAGCAATGGTAACCCCAAATGCTGAAGAGAGCAGATGGAGCAAGGCCAGTGTTCCCACCTAAGTCCACTGGTGACAACATCTCACTTTTCCACCTACTCCCGAGTTACAGTTGGGCTGCTGGCACAGAACAGGAAGCCATCCATCCATTTTTCAACCTCTTTATCCCTTTCAGGTTGCCGGGAAGCCGGAGGCGGAGCCTACCCCAGCAAGCAATGAGCGCACGGCAGGAGACACATGGGACAGGACACTAGTCCATCATAGTGTAGACACAGACACATACAAGGGGCCAATAGTCCCCAGAAGCCAATTGACCCCATCACTATGTGTTTGGACTGCTGGAGGAAACCCAGGCAAACCAAGAGAACAAACTCCTTGCAGATAGTGGTCCGTACAATGGCAGACCCTGCGCTCTGACCCCAAGCTTCTCTCCCTGTCTGTGTCTGTGTCTCCATGGAGAAAAAGCTGGGGTATGCGAAGACGAATTCCTAATGCAAGAAATTGTATAGGGCTAATAAAGAAACATTATTATTATTAGATATTATTAGCCAGCCGTAGGTAAATCCCGTTAAAACCATGAGTGACGACTTCAATATAAGCCATGTGGCCTCTTACCATGAACGTCCCCTCCACCAACACCAGTGTGCAGCCCCACCTGGATGATGCGACGGCAGCCATTGTGCGCCAGAACGTTCACCACACATCAGCTCTCAGTGGGGAGGAGAGCAGAGAGATGAAGCCAGTTCATCGATGGGGATTATTAGGAGGCCATGATTGGAAAGGGCCAATGGGAAATTTGGTTACACCCCTACTCTTTACGTCTCATCTGAAGGACAGCGCCTGTTTACAGTAAAGTGTCCCTGTCACTAGACTGGGGCATTAGGGCCCACACAGACCGCAGAGTGAGCGCCCCCTGCTGGCCCCACTAACACCTCTTCCAGCAGCAACCTTAGTTTTTCCCAGGAGGTCTCCCCTCCAGGTACTGACCAGGCTCACACCTGCTGAGCTTCAGTTGGTTGGCAGTTGTGAGATGCAGAGTGATATGTCTACTGGCTGTTTGTCTGGCTGATTCTACAAGGTATCAATCTATTCCTTCAAAACAGTTTCCCCACAAGTCCCTGTGTTCTCTAGAAAATATGATTGTTTGGATTCAACTGCACCTTTAAGGATCTTCACAAATGCTGTCAAACAAAATCTCATAGAAAATAATGCTGGAGCTTACTGAGTAGTAAAGAGATTAAATAAGAAAAAAAAGTCAAGACTCACAAAATTGACAACTTTATTGCACCTGTTTATATATATATATTAAGAGTTCCAGTTGGAAATAATAAAGGTCACTCCTTGGTCAGAAAATAACGGTGCAAAAATCAGAACTAGAAATGCAAATATGATACAGATCTCTCTTAGACCAGAATCTGTTTAAAAAAGTGTCAATTGTATTGATATTAAAATATGTCTAATCTCAGGATAATTCCACATTAAACATTCATACACTCTATATAACACAGTACTTCTATAGCAATATGCCTTTTACACCTGTCATTTACTGTAAACTCTACAGTTAACAGTTTTAAGGGATCATATGAAACACATTGCATTTTTCACAAACTTTACTGTTGATAAATTCTAAAGTTTAACTCACAGTCCAATAACCTGTAACTACACCATCGTTTTTTCGGTGTTTTATTTTTATTCGTAAAGCCAGCCTGAGGCAACCTTTCCAAAATAAAACTTGTTTGGGAAGTTATACACTAAATATTACTGGATACACCGGAAGCACATGGTGTACTGTACAAACTCTACATTGGCAAAGCATTTTATTATTACTTTCAATATAAATGTAATATATCTGTGCCCAGACAAGTGGAAGACCCCAATGATTTTATAATACATACTATATATTCCTTACAATATAAGTTATAGGAATTTAAAAACACTAAGGAAGGATGTGTTATGCAAAAATGGCACAGTGTATGACCCCAGCCATTCCATTGTACAAGTACCACACAGAACGCAAGAAATAAAATGACATCGTCATCTGCAGTGACAACCGTTTTTGTTCCTGAGGCATCCCGCTAACGAAAGAGTGACCAGTTCGAATGTCAAAGTCCAGAATTGCATAGAAAGTAGAGACAGGGGCATTGATATATAATTAGAAATATACTAGCTCCTTGGAAAGGGTGATGAACGCAATGCATGCCAAAATGTTAAAAGCTGTGTAGCACCAAACCAGGGCTGGGACAGTAGTTCTTCTGGCCCTACACTCCAGCACACCTAGCTCAGACTGGGAGGCAGAGGAGGGCTCGTGGTCAGGTCCAACAATAAGAAACCTGGAGGCTGAAAGTTTGTTACGCAGGCACTAGTTACGGATGAGACGTTTGCGCACAGGAAGGCAGGCAGAACAATAAAGTCTCGTTCTAAAGGATCGGGAGTTGTGGTCTGGGGGGGAAAAAAGTATCACTTTCTAAAGGGCTGAAGGGACACAGGGTGATAAATCCCAGAATGAGGAAGCCACCGCTAGATGGGAATTATTTTCGCAATGATGGGTGCACGAGAGACAGATAGGCACCAATTTACACCCTACTCTTTCACCGTTTCCGCCAAACAGAATGGACACCGACTCTCCTGGGGAGGATCTACAACACAGCTGGAGTTGCAACAGCCGGCTTTTTGAAACCGATGAAGAAATAATTAGTAAAAAAAAAAACCTGTTATGCATCACTATCTAACGGCACGTGACGAAAAGCCACATCTTCATGTGAAAATGCAGGTTAGAAATACTTGGAACGTGTTAGCCTCCCCTTTTCAAAACTTTGTTACTTGATGGGGAGTCAATCAAAGGTGTTCCAAGGATCAATGAGTGCAGTTATGCATTAAACATTCAAAGGAAATTCTGCTCAGTATGATGAAGCAGGGCCTAGACAGGTAATAAGAAAGGACCAGACTGACAAGGGGTCATATCAATTACCCCAAATAAAAGGAAGGGTTTTCCTTAATGTTTTTGCTAGTTGATTTAAGTTCTCAAATTTGTAACGCTTACCTAGAATGAATTACTGTGAACTTCTGTGAGAAAAGTCAGTGAAAGTATGAAGGATATATAGGTTTGTGAGCTGACACGAGGACTGAGGATCGAGTAGCTGAGATGGATGACGGAGGTAGATTCAGATGAAAATGTTATGAAATATTTTAAAAGTTACAGAAATGAAAAAAGCCACAGTCCGAAAGCATTAGTTATGCCAACATACACCACCTGCATTCGGTAAAACAGTATGCTGATATTGTCAAACAGTTCAACGAACAACAAAAAAGTCTCTCCAAAAATACCATCACAAAACTGACTGTACACACTGTGGCCTCTTCATAAAAGCAGTGAATTAATGTCATTTACAGATTTCCTTCACTTTTTATTTTACAGATATTTAACCAAAGGAACTGTTAGCATGGTTTAGTTTGCATATGTGAAGATATAATTTACTGTATGTTAAAAAAATAAATCTGAGTCAAAAAGACCTGAGTGGATTCAAAACTTTAGTACTAATTTAGTACACTTCAGGAGTGATAAAACTTAACTTCACTTACACATCCTGATGTATTGTACAATCAAAATAACTATGAAGAAAAAAAAAACGACAATACATTTGTATAAGAATGGTTGTAGAAGATGTTTCAAATCCAACTGGTCAAGTGTCAACTGGTTAAACTGTACTACTCTGTAATAAGACTGGAAACCTATTTAGCAGTTTAAAAATGCTATCAAAACCTACAACTAAACTGGTTTACATTTTAATGTGAAACAGATTCTGAACTTATACAAGAAAAGGGTAATTTACACAGTTAACATAAGACCTAAACTGATCCTTTTATCTTATTTTTTGGAGATTAACTTTTCGAATACTAGCAGAAAGCACTAACTTCCTGTGTTAAACATTCACAGTAGATAAACTACCATATCCTGTTCCTGTTTAGTTCAAATATATCTATCTTACACTGGCAGAGTGAGGTTTTGGTGTAGCTGGAAATGCACACTATTTCCTTTCCTCATTCATGTATTTTTTTCTCTGTCTAAATCTACAAAACAAAATGTAAACAAATGCTGAAAGAGATCTTGTGATATGTTTTTGACGTTTTTTTAGAATATAAAACAAAAACATGCTTAACGGAACAAAAAAATCTTTACAGTTCGGAACTAGATATAAGACAACTTTGTTACACACAAAAGATACCCAAATATCTTTTTTTGATTAAAAAAATGCCTTCATGTTAGAAAACAACTGAAAACTCAAATTATTTTGCAGGGGACGTTCTGAAACTGGCACTATGTAGTATGTGCAGTTTTTCTGTTTCTTAGGTAAATGTTAATGGACTGCAATTTTCCAGAACTCCCAATGATGTGCCTCATTACGGCAACCCTTAACTGTGAAGCTGATGAAGTTGAAACGCAATAGGAGTTTTTTCCCCCCCAATAAAGCACATGTCCCGAATCACTACAACTACATCAGTGAGACTGAGCTCATCACCACAGCCGGGCCGCCAGCATAAACAAGGCTTTCAAAACTAAATGAGCGTGTGTCCCAGTCTCCTGCGATTGGCCTAGACAGCAGCAGGGGTGAGAATTATCAGAGGTGAATAAAATTCCTTGTTTTTTTCCTGGTAAAACATTTCCAACTTGCAGACCTCACTTCTCCCTCCCAGGCAGTTTCTACTTGTTTTTTCTTTATTATGCAGGTTAGATGGGCTGAAAGGCCTCCTGTGGTTTGTCACCGGTCTTGAGTTCTTATTACAATCAAGGAAACCCCAATAAATTCAGTCTCTTTGCAACCCAGAATAATGCTTAACCCCGATAAACTGATTTCATTACAGCCTAAAACCGTCCACGGGTATGAGCAGGTTTCTCTGATAAATGTCGATTAACTTGGTGCTCTGTTATGGGTGCTGTGATGGGAACAATGCAGAATTTCCTATCTAGTCTCAGTTCCGCACCAGCCTGGAGCACATGGCTCCAAATCAAGAACTAATCGGTCACAAGCGAGAGCAAACGCCTTCATGCCTTAACGGACACAGCAATGAACCTGTGGTCAACGGTGGTCAAAATGTGTGAATACAGGCTGAAAACCCTACTCGATATATGGGCATAAGGATTTGATATGTGTTCTCTTAATGGAAATATGCTAAATAACCACAACTGCCCCTGCAAGCTGCTTAGCTGGTCTTTACAGCTAAGCAGATTGTTCTTAAATATAATGTAGTAGGAGGAAACCTTTTTTGTTCTGCTTTATGGTCTCCAGACTACAGTCAGTATTTGTGGCAAATGTCACGATTGCTCAGACCTGTACAGAGGACAATCCAAATTCTCCCGCATCTCTGTTTCCAAATTCAGTGAATTTGAACCCTGAGATGGTTTCAATTTCATTTAAATTCTCTGACATTGTTTGTCTTTGATTGACACACAACAGGCCTCAGCACTGTGTTCATTCAGTTTTGCTAATTGTGTGACGGAATTGAAATTTAAAAAATCATTTTAAATTATTCTGATATAAATGTCATATTTAATACTTATAAACACTGAATTTAGGAAACTGCACTACTAAATTTTTCCAGCTATTTTACAGACTGCTGTGGGGACTAGTTTGCTCCTGATTTAGCGGTGACTTCAAGTGTAAGATCTCTCCCTGGAGCAGGCTGCACAAAGCATGTGCAAAACCCTTCGGCAGGAGTAAACCTTGCGTCTCAGCTTGAACTTTCCCTTTTTCCCCTCTTCCCGTACACTTAACACTTGCACCAAAGACAGTGCATTCTTTAACACAGCCCCCCGCGGTTCACAGTACCGATCAGTAGTTTTTCCTGAATGGATCTTGCATTAACGTGCATTGCTAGGTGCAAGGAGCCGTGATTCCACACCTCATGAGCACCAGCTCGACATCTTCTGGCCTCACACTGTACACATTTCTGAATGCATCTGGTTCATCAAGATTTAAGCAAGGTGGGGAAGCCACCATCCATTTTACGACTTCATTTACGGACTGCATTCGGGTTGTTTTTTACCGCGGTAATATGTTTGCCCCTTTCATACAATTTACGAGCTTTTGTTCCAGAATTCCCAGGTACACTCGTTCTTTTTCTTCCCAAGTCCAATTCGAGCTGCTCTCCTCACCCAAAGGAGGCCTTAGCCAGTTCATGGTTGTCATGATGGTGGCTGTCCAGCTGTCTGTGGCTCCCAGAAGAAACGTCAGCTCAGCAGAGTCCTCCTGTCTTGTCCTGCCACCTTCCTCTCCTCCCGACAACAACCAGCCTTCGCGACAAGAAGACTGAGGGACAGACCTGCAGCCTCCTCGCGCAGAAGTTTGGACAGATCCCTCCTTGATCTCGAAAAGACACCCTTTCTCGTCTGCAAAAAGGAGTTTAAAGAACATTGAGACGTGCCAGTATGTAAAAAAAGTATTTTCAAATGCACTGAGATATACATCTCGCAAGAAAGACAAAGCAGCACAGAAACACAATACAAGGGTCCCTCCTGCACCATTCCATACCAGTCTATGAGAGACATTAGCGAGGCATAGTTCCTCCACGACACCTTTCATCCATTTACAGGAAACTAATTCAAAGTGGAATTTAAGAAAACAGTACATATCATAGCAAATAGTCTCAAATGTTTACTTTAAGGCGGTGTAATGCACCCTGAGAATGTGGTCCTTTCCGAGTGGCTCTCTCTCCATGACTCACCCAGTCTTGCTGGTTAGAACCGGTGACCCAGACTGGTCATCCTCCCTCCGTGGGTGACCGACCATAGATTACGACGGTTCTGGACTTTCTGGAAGACATTGAAGTTCCTCCTCTTCTCCTTCCTATACTTTTTTACTTTCTTAACCTGTTTAAAAGCAAAATAAAAGATCTGTAGCTTTTTTTATTTTATTCCTTAAGTTACTGAAATACACTTTAGTGACCTTTAGTGACTTCGAGTGCCTTCAGTGTAAATCACTACTATCGTATCAGGTACGTTATTAACCTGGCAGAGAATTTATTACAGCAGTGTGGTGGTGTTTCAGTTGAGCTGGTGTGCTTCACAGGTTTTGGGTCCTGGCTTGGACTTTGGGGGCTTGGTGCCTTCTGCGTGGAGTCTGCATGCTCTTCCCAGGTTGGTGTAGGTTTTCTCTGGGGGCCCCAGTTCCTCCCCCCTTCCAAAGACACGTTATCTAGGTGAACTGGTGCCTCTGCTAACCCTTACCAAAGGAGCAGCTTTCTGATAACGTGTGGGTGGCTGTTTATAATCCCATGTAGCCCAACGAAGAGGTGAAAAAAAAACAGTGCTGAAAAAAAAGCACTGATGTTTTTGCTAAACAGTACACGACAAGAACTTGAAAAACATTACGGAAGAATTGACCTGAGGCGAGAGAAAGGAAAAAAAATATCAAGAAAGAATAAAAGCCCCCCCCAAAAAACAGCTCCGTCTCCTCACCTTCCCACTGTCAAAGTCTTCATCCCATTCATCAATCACAGTGTCGTTTCTGGCAATGTGGGCGTCCTCAATGGCCTCTCTGCTGAGAGCAGAGACCTCCCCATCCCAGGTCAAGACTGAAACGCAACAGAGCTGACATCAGACAAACACATCAGATCTCTGTTTAACCCGCGTCAACAGGGAAGGCACCAGCAAACAGCAAAACCTTTCAAAGCTGTCATTCCGATTACACGCTCAACAAAAACATTTCGAAACCCGTTTCTTGCAGGCACATCACTACAAATGTGCCTACAAGACTCTTAAGGTTTCTGATGGGGCGGAGCGGTGGCACCGTGGCTAAGAGTCTGCGCCTGCAAGGCTGCCGGTTCAAATCCTGTGGCCTCTGCGGCAGGGGAATCCTACTCCGTTGGGCCCCTGAGCAAGGCTCTTAACCCCAGCTGCTATGGCTGACCCTGCGCTCTGACCCCAAGCTTCTCTCTCCCTGTCTTGTGTGCCTGTGTGTCTCATGGAGAGCGAAAAGACAAAATTCCTAATGCAAGAAACTGTATATGGCCAATAAAGTGATCTTATCTGAAATCGACCGATGGGTGAGAGTCCTGTGTCTCTCCACACCACGGACAGGAAGCACCCGGGGGTGGGAGTATAGGAGCAGCGCGTCTGCGCATCTCATTCTCTCCCGGAAGAGCACGGGATTCACGGCCCGGCAGCTGGGTCCCGAAACAAGTGCCGGTTCCACACCGGGGTGCATACTTAACAAGGAAACGACAGAAAACGAGGAATTCTCATCGCGGGGCTTCGGATCCTCCCGGGCAGCTGGCTCACCTTCAGCTCCGTACGCCCGGTCCTCAGAGTGCCGGAGGAGCTCGGTCACCACGCTGCAGCTCCTCCTCCCGTCCCAGGCCGAGGAGGACTGCGCCGCTGGGAGCTCTGGGGTACGTTTATAACCGTCGCGTACCTGGCCATCCCAGACGACCACTGCAGACAAAAAAATTATCTGTCAGAAGACGGAGGCGCTCTTTAGTTTGAAGACTCGTTCACTGTTGGCATCACCTTTTAAACCTGCAAGAGCACTGAAGTGCTTCTAGCTGGTCAACTACAGAGGCTAGTTCCTGAAGGAGCTGTTAGCTAAACCAGCGGAACCATCCCATGCTGTTACAAGACTGGTAGCTGCTGCTCTCCGAGTGCAGGCTGTGTAGATCTGTTCTGGGCCTGTATCAGAACTAAAGGAGTGCCATACAAGCAGAGAGAAACACCGCCCCTCGGGGCGAAACCGTGAACACGTGCAGGTGAAGCAAACAGAGGTCTAAGCATCTAAGGCGACTGACTGCTCTGCACCTGGTTTGGTCTTGCCAGCTCTTCCCCCGTTTACTGTACTCTCCTCTGGGAGGGGATCGGAGCTGCGGCCTTCCTCATCACTCGCACTCCTCTTCCTTTTTCTCCGTTCTGCTTTCTCCTTGAGTTTCTCCCTCTTCTTTTTCAGCTTGTCCAAATCATCGGCGTCGGTCCCCACCGCTGCTTCTCTGATCCCTGAGCTGGACACGGGGGGGGGGAGAGGGGAGAGGCTGTGACACCAAGCCAGATCAATCGATGACCCACAGTGACCTAACATGTTCAAGTGTCCTGATGTGCACAAGTACCGTAAACACAACAGGGCGTTTCAGCGGAGCAGAAAAATCGCACTACAGTACGCAGTCTGGAAGAAAAGGTGTCATTACTAGTTGGTAAAAAATGTTTTCGTTTGTACTTGAAGGGAAGCTCTAAGATTTTATATTATTTTAATTATTTTGTATTATTCTTTACTATACACCCACGCAGTTTGGACATGCCAGTTCTTTAGTATTGTAGTGCACGTTACAGCGAGAACCACCAGACAGGCTCCTTCCTCTTGCCTACCCATCAGCGCCATCCTCCTGCAGGAAGGCGGCGGGTTCCATAACTATCCTTACTCTCACAAAGCGCTTTTCTGGACACTGCTCTCCAAGCGCTTTACAGGTAATGGGGACCCCCCTCCACCACCACCAGTGTGCAGCCCCACCTGGATGATGCAGCAGCAGCCAGAGTGCGCCAGAACGCTCCCCACACATCAGCTCTCAGTGGGGAGGAGAGCAGAGTGATGAAGCCAGTTCAGAGATTATTAGAGGCAACAACTGGCAAAAGATGGGGAAATTTGGCCTGGGAACACCAGGTTAACACCCCTACTCTTTTTGAGAAACGCCCTGGAATTTTAAATGCCCACATAGAGTCAGGGCCTAAGTTTTACCTCTCATCTGAAATACAGTGCCTTTTTAAAGTATTGTGACCATCACTATACTGGGGCATTAGGATCCACTCATACCACTGGGTGACCGTCCCCTACTGGCCTCACTAACAACCCCTCCCAGCAGCAGCCTTAGCTTTCCCAGGAGTCTCCCCTCCAGGTACTGGCCAAGCTCACACCTGCTGAGCTCCAGTGGGCTGTCAGCAGTGAGTTGCAGGGTGATCTAGCTGCAGGCTAAGGGAGGGGTGCTCTTCTCTCTGGCATCTCTGCACACCTGCAGGAAACCAGCAGGTTGCAAGAAACCGCCATTTGGCCGAGAGCCGAGGAGACCCCACCTGACGTACGCCCCCAGCTCCGAGCCGCGCGCCACGCCCTGGCTCTCCTCTGGCCTCACGGGTCGGGCCTGACCGAGCGAGACTCCAGCGAGCAGCACCTACCTGTCGCAAACAGACTTGGAAAGGCTCTCTTTTCCGGACGTCCCTTCCTTGCTTTTCTCCTTTCGTCTCTTTTTCTTCTTCTTGTCCCCCGGGGCCGCTTCTTCGCCGGGGGGCCGGAGGGTTGGTGGCTCCGCAGATGCGGTCCAGCTCTCCGGAGGAGCCGGGAGCCTGGGAGGAGAGCCCGGACCCCGGGGGGGGTCCCGAGGCGACTCCAGGTGGGACAGCACGCTCTCCCTCGCAGGGCCCGCTACGCCCTGCTCTTCATCCTCCGCTCTCCTCTTCCTCCTCTTCTTCTTCTTTTTCGGGGCCTCCTCCGCGCCCTCCTTGTGGCCATTCTGCGCTACAGAAGGGGGCCGGTCGTCTCCCCCGGGACAGCGGCGCTTGTGTTTTTTCGGCTTTTTCGCGGGGCCAGGGACGTACGAGGGCTCGGTGGTGTCCACCGGGCTGGACTGGGAGCTGCCCTTCTCCGGGCTTTTGGGAAGAAAGCCATTGGTTTGAGAAGGGGAACCGCAAGGCAGCTGCATGCCAACCGAATCGAAGGGGGAGGCGATGGCTGACTTCCTGTGGCCATCTTTACTACACAGGGAGTCTGACCATGGCTTGGGCAGAGCTTGCAATTTGGGAGAATGGAATGAGTCAGCCCTGAGGAAAGGAGGGAAAAAAAAACAGACTTTTACATTTCACGCATGAAAGAAGCCAATTTCTTCATTTAAAAGGCTTTCTACTTTTTGAAATATGAAAACACCTATTTTAGTTCATATCTTTTGCATCAAGGTTTTACAAGGGGGAAAATACATGAAGATGAACAACTGAATAAAGGGGGCCTAGATTTGGTCATTTAGGAGATTTATAAATGGCTTTTTAAGGCGATTAAAGCTTTGCACAAAGGCACAGCCCTGAAATGCGTAACCTCAATGGTTCTGGCATTACAAATAAATCGCAGACGAGTCCCAGTGACGTGGGAGGTAGTTCCCAGAGCCGTACCTGTGTCTGTGGGCAGCGGTGGGCGAGGAGAAGTGGCGGGATGTGGTTGGATGCGTGGAATCGCTGGGCAGATGGCGTGGAGAGAATGAGGCCTCACTGCCGCTCGGACTCTGGCTGGACCTGGCCTGCAGTTATTGACATAAATAAAAACTTGGTGGTCTAAAAAAAAAAACGTAGCCATGAATATGACAAAAAAAAAGAGAGAGAGAGAGAGGGGGGAAAAAAGAAAACGGGGAAAAAAAAAACAGGAAAAGGTATGGCAGAAGAAGAATTAGAAATGGTTAGAAGAAAAGAAAACACAAAGAGTGAAAAGGTCATGCTCAGAAATTACAAAGAAACAGCTCTCGCTTGAAAGTAAAGACAGTCCAACAAAGCACTGGTTAGACAACAGTTTACACGCTGGGAGACTGTTTATGTGCCCCAAAGCTTAAAATATAAATCCTATCAAAAAGACACAAGCCAACAAAAACTGTTCAAGTCAAGAAAAAGCAGCAGGTCCAGTATAGGAATGGAAAAGGGAGAACTTAAAAAAAAGATACTCAAAACCTACCTGTAATATAATACAGAAAACACCTTCATTAATCTGCATTTACAGCATGTCCTGCAGTATCAGCTTTTTGATCTGTAACACGGCTGATCTGAACAGCCTCTCTGTAACTGGATGGGAACCAGTGCAGAAAGCTGTTTTCTGTTTGCAAGACAAGTGTGGCAGTGCTACTAAAATTCAGGTAGATGATAACATGCACTGAAAGAAGCAGGGTTTTGATAAATTCATCACAAAGGTAGAACATTTAACACTCTGCCAAAGGGCTAGTACTGAGCCTACCTATCTTCAGCACATCTCACCAAGGGGTAATAAATCCCAAAAGACACAAAACCTGGGGTCCCGTCTTAAAGCTGCGCGCCAAACAAAATTTCAAAACAGACTCTTCACTAGTGCGCAAACAGGACCTGCTGGGCTCATTCTAAACTGCACAATTCTTTACTTTCTTTTTTCTTTTGCAATCTAGTTGATCACATTTGATAACATTTCTTCACATTTAAATGCAAATCCTGTTTTTATTCAGAAACATTGTTTTCTGTCTTTTACATTCCAGTAGTGTGAATTCAGTGCAGTTCATATGGCTTTTTTTTTTTGCAGTTATGAGAGTTATGAGTGGTGATTCCTTCTGTTTCATATGAAACGAGTGCTTTATCGATGGTCTCTGCGCACGTCTCCAAGATGCCACTGTAATGGCTTCCTTCCAACAATAACTCTCATAACGTTTTTAATGTAATTGCGAATTTATTGCATTCAAATATTCGGCACTCTTTGTAGGAGAAAAAATGTATAACAGCTAAAAGAAAGTTCAATCATTTTTGGCGTTATGACTGCAGGAGATACAGTATTATTAAACTGAAACCGAGTTTTGCTCTTATTAAAGTTATATCTGCACTTACATAGTTTAATTATACAATGCTATGGTGTGAAAATTAAAATCGTGGTTAAATAACTAGAAATCGTACATAAGATTGAAATAAGATTTCTTGAGTAAAATATTGAAAGTGCTTTAGGAAACTTTGCTATCTGAGATATAAAAGCATGTTTTAGAATTATGCGCTCCGGGGAAAATGAATTATTAGTTCTATGCACTCTGTGTAAAGCCTTTAATGCACCACAAAGGCTGTATATGTTTCTACATGTGTCTGTTATTTTTACCCAAAATAAAGGTGCATTTAAATTTGAAGGAGCACATACTGAAAATAGCAAGGTTCAGGGGATTTCCGATATACTGCTTTCATATATATATATAACCTTTTTCTTTTATGAATTTCAGGTCAATATTTGAAAATGAAGTGCGATTCTGGGCAGCTGAAGCCCCCTAAACACAAAACAAATTACATTTTAATATGAAGACTGCTTTCCGAGGTGGCATCCAGTTGTCTCAGGACCTCTCCCACCGGCAACACAGAATGGCCGCCCGGACACGTCTCAGGGTTCATACTACACACCAACACCTCAGATTCCCCGGCTACTTGGAACCCGTCGGTCCTGCCAGCCAAGCCAAAGAGGCCAAGCTGCTCCCAGACCGGCGCCGCACGGCCCCGCCACGCGCTCTCACCTTCTTGGCAGAAAGAGCCAGTTTCTTGGCAGGGGGAGGCGATATGGTGCTGGCCGGCTCGGAGGCGACGTTGGTCAGGGCCTGGGGCTTGAACTTCACGCTCCTCTCCTCCGGGCCTCCGGGGCTCGGGGCTTCGGGCCCCCGCCTAGGCGACGCCATGCCGCCGCTGAGGCCGCTCCTCGCGGGGGGCTCGCCCTTGGGGAGGCCCCTCGGGCTGCTCGCATCCTTCGGCGGCGCCGGCAGCCCGCTCGGCTCCCCGTCCTGGAATTCAGAGCGCGGCCGCGCTTGAGTCACGCGGAAAAAGGCCCGCGCCTGCTCGGCGTGTTCGCTGGAGGGCGCGCCCCCCTGAGCCTCGCCAAAGCTAGCGTGTTAAATGAGAGATGCACATAACATGTGCTTGCGCCCGAAACAATGCAGCACAGTTCCTCCTACAGGCCTGGGACATCCAATCCAGATCCTGGAGGGTCATGGTGTCTTCAGACACTCACCCCTTCTCAGCTCAATGAATAAATGGAGCAAGTTAACCACCCGTCCTAGCACTGCAGATGCTGACACTTTAAAAGAACCTAGAATCAAGCTGATGCCTTAAAAGAACCTAGAAAAGCCAAAAGACACACATACCTTCCAGGAAAGAACGGCCTGGCTTTATGGGAAAAACAATACGCATCTAACAGAAGTCGATATTATCTTTTCAGAACACGGTAACCTAGGACAGAAACCTAGCAGAGGAACCAGCAAAAGTTTATTCCACACACCCAAAGGAGGTTCCACAGCCGAAACGTTGTGTTTCTTTTCTTCTCTTTTCAGCGGGGAATAAAGAGTTAAACTAGAATCGTAAAGACGTGGCATTGCAGGTGAGTCGGCTATATCCCCACCCGCGTGGATCCAAGTGTTGAGCAGAGTTAGCGGGCCTGAACCAGCAGATCTCCCATTTCAAGATGGGTTGTATATAAATAAATCTTTCAAATAATCTAGAACCATACCTCTCAATAACTTATACACGAAGAAGACACCAGTAGTACATTCTGAAGATGCTACTTCGATCTACAGAGATGGCCGTTAAGTGAAAACGCACAGCATTTTAATTAAGACTCAAGCTTTCTAGATACTGGTCTAGACCACAGAAACCTTTTTAGTAACTTTTAGAAACACCCCTCCTTGAAACGAATCAAAACCACATTCCTGTGTCAACCAGGCCCGAGCAAGACTCCCGTCCCCGCCATGTCAGGTGGGGTGGGAGGGCGATACCCTTGAGAGACCCCTAACGAGAGAGAAATTGGGGGGGTGAAAAGTAGCGCCTCAGGTTTTGCGTTCCGTATAGAAGGGCTTGCCGGCCTTACCTTCGCCTCCGAGGTGTCGGGAGAAGAGTCAGTCAGGGACTTCATTGAGGTAGATGCAGACAGGCCCCTGCTCTCCGCCGCGTGCCTCCTGTCGCTCTCTGGTTTGGGGGCCCCGCCAAAGCCGTTGGGGGCCCCGCTGGGGCCACTGCGAGCCTGCAGCTGCGGTGATGGCTTCTTCACCTTCTTCAGGGGCTCCTCGATCACAGTGGGGCCAGCGGGGGCCCTGGAGGCAGCAGGCAGAAGAGGGGAGCCGTTCGCAAGCTTCGGGGACTGGCAGGCACTCCCGTTGCGGGGGACGGGGACCCCCACTCCATCTGCAGCCTGGACCTTGCGCACCTGGGAGGACTCCAGCTTCTGTTTGGGGGGGGGGGAGAAAGCAACCAAAAGCTCAAGCGACTGGGATCCGAGTCTTTTCACTTAAATATACGAATACAAAACAGGGGAAAGAGGACTTAATCGTTTGCAATCAGATTAAATGTTTCAGTCAACAAAGCTTCCAGCAGATAACGTGCTGCAGGAATTAAAAGCAAGCCTGAACCGTATAATTAACGTTCATAGAAAGCACAGTTCAGCCCCCAAATTACAAGCCAGAAAATAGACAACCCAATATCCTCTGTTTCATTTAGCACGTTGTAAGTTGCTGATTTCCTCTGCTGTGAAGTTATTTATACTCATGTAAGACTAGGGAAAGCTTTGAAAAAAGATAATGGGCTCATGCATCCTAATGCAATTCATGCTGTCTTTTTTTTCCCCCAGACTTCACATTCGTCCTTGACCTGTCGGCCATCTGGGCCTCTTACCTTTCCCACCTGTGGAGAGGACAGAGGTCCATTCAGAGAGGCTTTCTTTAACTGCTCTGGAGTCACACTGTTCCTTCCAGACGGTACGACACCCTGTTTAGAGATTGGACCATCCAGGTTCTTCCTGGTTTCTGGAATTCTACAAGCAAAAAAAAAAATCAGAACAGCAGCAACTTAATTACAAGATCACAGTGATGCATCTTTTATCGCATGCATTTTTAATTTTAAGATACTTGTTTTACAATGCAAGTGTGTATGAGTGGTCAACTCAGCTGTGGGGAAAAAATCTCAGATGTTCATGTATTTAACCTCAAACCAATTCTCACCTCAGGTAAAACAGCACATAGGCTTGTTGGTTGAGAACCACTTTGATGTTACTGGAATGCACCATGGAATCGTTCATCTGGTACCACTGGCCATTGCTGGCCTGCAAGACAAGACAAACCAGCGCTCTTTAAAATAATCTGCTGGAGCTGAAATACTGCAGCCACCCAGACAGCCCTGTTTCAGACGGCTTTTGTGACACATCAACGCTGAATACCTTACAATATCTGTCCGAGAACAACTCAACGAAAGATGGGCTCTTCTGGCTTTGTCATAAAAGTTCAAGTTTAATCTTTCATTCTCTTGCTCTCCCAGCACTGTAATGTGCAGACCTAATGGCATGATTTTCAACAGAGGCATAAAATAACTAGTTTGCAAGATTATTTTTAAGGCCTGGTTTATGTAACTGAATCTCTTTACGTTACCTACGCTTTAAGAAGTCAATAACGGCACATTTTAGATAAACCACATGAAAAACACAAGACCTGAAGATGATCTTAAAAAGCACTTTGCTACCTATTTCTTAGCAGTACTTTTGCATCTTTTGGAAACTGGCTGCTAGTCTTCTGTCAAATGTATATCAACTTTGCTCATTCTGCGTGAAGCTTTGTGTGACATTTATTAACGTTAACATGACTGTCTCACCAACTGATATAAAACAAAAAAAAATCATTTTAACAAATGTTATGAACGAGATATCGCTCCCTTGTAGTCAGAGGCTTTTTAAAAAAAACTTTTGAATCAACAGTATAGCTGACTAATTTTATCCCAGGACTCAAACTCATGGAGGAGAAGCGGTTTTTTTAATAAAGCCCCTAAAAGAAAAATCAAATGGTTCTGCAGTTACTCTCTCTTCCCTTAACAGCTCCAGTAAAAACAAATATGAGCCAACACCTGTAAAAGCATATGTACAGAAGACACTGAACTTTCCAAGCACACTGATGCCTCCAATATACAGTAAAAATTAGTTAATACAGCTGGTCTTACCTTAACATAGCAGTAATAGTGCCCAGCATGGCAGCTGTACCCTGAATGCACCAGCACGGCGTACAGCCCGTACATAACTGGGTCCCCCGAACTCTGGGACATGTAGGGGCGGATGTTTAGGAACTCTGGGTAACCCACATCCTGAGAGGAGAAGAACAGGGCATTAAACCGAATGTCCATAAATCCTTAGCAGAACTCTTTAACCATGGACAAATGCACAAATCTGAATAATACTATTTGTCAAACACTTTAAGAGTCTTGTTTTGTTTTTTTTAAAGTGCTCCAGAATATTTCTAAAACTAAAACAGAAGCCAATTAACCATTAATCAGTAGGTCTTTGGAGTGTGGGAGGAAACCGAAGCACCTGGAGGAAACATACAAACTCCACACAGATAGCAACCCAGGGCCCCAGGGCTGTGGTTTAAAATAGAAAGACAGCACGCTCCCGATATTCTTGCAGGATCATATCATATGTATGTGATTATGAACTGTGTTTTTTGTGTGTGGGTGGGAGACAAAGTGGTGCTCAGCATCCTGTTTTATTGGTGCCCCAGCTGCTGTAAGAGACACACAGTACAAGGCGGGCCGGCCCACGGTTCGACAGTCACGCTCCCCCTCACCTTGGTGATCTTCCCTCCACTGAAGTTGGCAAACCTCTTGAGAGACAAGGTCAGGACGTTGGATGGTCGGTGGACTGTAAAGCGCTTGGTGGCCGGCACTTTCTTCTTACACCTGATTGCAGAGAAAGAGAAAAACACCCGAGTCAGCTGCCAAGGAAAAGCCTGAGCTTGCCACTGCAGCTTCACCTGCTGTTCTCCTAGTGCAGAGCTTTTCCATTTGCATCTCAACTGAGACTGCTGTAATGAAAAGGCCGACAGCCGCAGAATTAACATCAGACCTTGAGCAGTGCTGTAATGCCTTCAGCAGACCCTGCTACTCTTAACACCCCGCTTCAGGGAAATGTGTTGTTTTGTATAGAAATGAACTTGTTTGTCTTCTAAAACCACCTGGTATTATACGCCAGCTTGTATTGAATTACATTTTCAATTGCACCTCTTGGCTTTCAGAAGGTTCTGCTGTTGGACCACCTACCACGATCTTTCATTTGAAATAAGGTTGCCAACTTGAATCGTTATCAAGTTACAGATTGTTTGTTTGTTTTTTTTAAGAAAGGCACTCACTTTGCACACATGTAAGCGTTCTCTCCACTCAAAACGTCGGGCTTCACAAACAGCTCGAGAGCTCGGACGATGTTTGCAGCTTGCTGAAAGACAAGACAAAGCGGCCCTTCAGTCCACAGGAAAATAACCAGGCGTGTTTACTGACAAAGTCACGACAGCTGGGATTGTACACATGTTGAGAGGCAAATTAGCTGAAATCCACTCTAAATCATTTTTGGGACAGCATCTGTTACACTAAATGCTCAGAAGAATCAAGATGTAAAGGCATATTTTCCACAACTGAACTGACATACTGCTGTATTTGGTAACTTACACACTTCAGGATGAATATATATATATAAACTTCCAGTTCTAGTGACAATTGCTATGACTAAAATCCAGTTCTAGCAATTTCCCCATTATATCACACATTAACGACTTAACTGAAAGCACCGTATTTTTAATACATTTATGCCAGCATATAAAATAATGAAGTGTAATAGCTGAGGGAAGAGTGCAAATTTCACAATTCCACCGCAATAAAAAGTACCTTAAAGGTAACGAGTGGCAGTATGTTAATTTCACACATGACAAATAAAGATGAGTTTAAAATGTTCACATGTGGCAAATAGAAATCGAACCTGAACTGAAGGCAAACTGCCTCTTGCTTTGCTCATTCAGCCACCCTTTTGCAGGTATTTACATGTATTGGAAGATTCCCTGGGCAACCCAATGTCTAACAGCAATAGTGAATCAGTGTCTAGCCTTCACCGCCACATGCTCCTCCTTAATATTCGCAGGAAGTGGCAACTCTACCCCTCTGCCCATGTGCTGTGGGAACATTCCAACTGGGAGAACAACTGAACTTTCATCCCAGCTGTGTGAGGATGGTGGTGTTCTTAAACTGATTTTCAATCTGCGTTTCATCATGACGTTGCAGGGACACAATCGCCAAAAGTTTTGGTTGTCCGGGTCAACGATTTTCCTTTTTCTCTTCCTTAAAGATACGTTAATGGCCATAGCCATGTCAAAAGACGGACCACGTCTCCGAAGGCACTTGTTTATTCCTCAGCTTTCGACGCTTCTAATTTTTCCCCCACTGTTCTGGAATTTCGGGAAGCAAACCTTGAATGACTCACCCGGATTTCAACGGCTATGTCCAGATAAGGATCATAGGTATCCGACACACTTTTACAGACGGAACATTTGACTGGAGAAAAGATAAAGACAATGCTAGAAAAAAGGCCAAAGAAATGACATTCTGTACCACACACACATACAAATCCGTATATTTCTACCAAGATTCTTATACGATATTCTTTAAAATTAATCCCGGTAAAATCAGAATAATTAACTTGTTAATGTAGTATTTATTTCTTATCATTGCTTTAGATGCCTACATTTTGTCAGATGTCACTTGAACCATGTGCCATCTTGCAAAGAGTGTTTTCGTTTTAATAACTTCAACCACTCTTACACCACTTGACCGTTTTTCCTAATCAATCTACATGTCGCTGACAATCATTTAATTCAGCAGCTCATGGGGTTAGTGCCTTACCATAAACAACGTACATATCAAATGCAGCAAATGCTACAAATACACTGACTTACCTCGAGACCTGAGATAACCGCCAAAGATCTGATGGACCAAGGTGGTGGCCTGTGTTTGCCTGTCAAGTCTACACGTTAAAGAAAAAGGGAGAGGGGGGAAAAAAGGGCTTCATGCACATCAAGAACTCTTGAGCTCTGTTTTGATGCAGATCAAGTTCAAAACAAAGAATCCTAAATGTAATATAAGGTCAACAGATAAATCACTTGCTTGCCTGAAACCACATGCCATAAAAATGGCAAATTACTATTTTCTTGACAACTGAATATGAGCTTTTGAATTTGGCACTAAAACAGAGTAAGAAATATAAATATCTAAATGGGCAGCCCATTCAAATGGAAATCTAAATTAAAACACTTGGTGCAGTAATGCTGGGGCCCATTCCGTATCTCAGATAGAGGACTATGAACAGTACTTGAGGTCTTACTTGGTGTAGCCACTGAGGCAGGCCTTCTGCATGGCATCGATGGTGTAGCGCAAAAACTCGTGGGCGTCCTCCTGACTCCCGAATCGGAAATGCCTGGCAATTTCTGAAAACCAGCACGAGAATCGCATGAGAACCCATTCGCAGCAGTGATTCACTCCCTACACAGTGCACGACGAGCTCTCAAACACAGAGTCGTTTGCCAGATCAGCCTCCAGGATCCTTGTTCAAAAGTAAGGAAGAAATAAAAAGGTGAGGGGGAGCCTGATCAAAACCAGCCAAAGAAAACGCGCTTGATCCAGGATCACTCAGTCACAGGAGAGCACGAATGACTGTAATGAAAGAGGTGGGGTCAGCGGTAACTAATGTTAAACAAATACAGTCCCCGCATTCACGTCAGCTGAATGCAGACTTTTCTGAGGTTTTGTGCCAATGTAAAGGCAGCTGTGCCCAGCCTACAGCCAGCGAGAAAAGCCGAGCTGCAGTGTGATGCAAAACCCTGGGGTGTCACACATCTTTAAGACTGGAGTAGGAGGACAGTGCTGTTCTGACACATGACCACATGCTCCATCGTATTCTCTCCACCACAATTTCTGATATGTGTTTTTTTTTTTTGCACACTCTTAGCCTCGCATACAGCCTCGGCTGAACTTGTTTTAATATGCCTTTAGAGCCAAACTGGAAAGGATGTCACTCCTGCAAATACAACAGCTCCTGAGCAGCTCTTTTTACAGAGAGTGATGCTTTAGTGGTCTCCAAGCAGGCAATCCGTGGCCCGCTGTGAAAGTGCAGGGACGAGACGTACCCTGGAAGAGACGTCAGTCTTTCATAGGGCACAAATACAAAAGTGCACAATGGGGCAATTAAGACACACCAGTTAACCCAGCCAGCAGCCAGCATGTCTTTGTAAAATGCTTGGAAAGTGAAGGACCTGGGGAAAACACAGAGGAACACTAGGGATATATGCAGCTCCACATAAACACAGCCCCAGCTCAGAATCAAACCTATGAAGCAGCAGAGTTCCACCAAGCCAGCTATATCTAGTTTCTTTTCCACAAAATCAAAGCTGATACATGCTCCACCATTCTTCTTTTACACTGTCCCTCTCCTCCACATGAACGCTCTGCCTAGGGGGGAGCAGGCGGACGCAAATCCAGCTTACTTTTCAAGTCCCTGATGAAGGAGACCGGTTTGATGGCATTGCCAGTGTTGGCAAACGCCTGTATTATGTGGTTCTGCATCACGCACATCATGCAGAATCCCGACTGGTGACCTGTAACACACAGAGACACGGAGCAAGGGTTAGGACAAACTTCTGCTCCTTCGGTCAGTTGCTGAAATCCCCATGATGAAGAACTACAGGAACCACTTAAGCCTAAACATCAATTTAAACAACAACATTTAAAAATATAGAATAGCAATACTCATTTTCTATTTACAACTTCAAACACATGCAGGACAGAGAAAAGAAATGTTTTTAAGTCTATCATCCAAATGAACACTCTTGTACGGCATCAATAAGTGTACAGATCATAGCGTGAGAGGATCAGAAACGGTGAAGGCAGCTTACAAGCCCTGCTGTGCTCCTTGGACAGAAGGTAGTTGGCGAGGGGAGGGGTGTAGGTCAGGCACTGCACCGTGGAGTTCAGGAAGCAGGTGTTGCCCAGGTTGTGGAGACCGGCTCCTACTCTGTAAATTCGCTCCCACTTCATGGACAGCCTGTTCCCCGGGAACAGCATCTTCTGGGGGGCAGGGATCCCGTCACTCTGTCCCCCGCTAACACCCTCCGAGACTGAACACAAAAACCCGAGTGGATGCATTAGCAAGCGAGAGTCTGTGAAAAGCCTGGAAGCGTGAGCGCTTGTACGCTAAAATGTAGGATGGCTCAAGAACTTAAGGCAACAGAATACATTGAATATCTTTACCACACACACACGGCTGAGCAGAACCGAGAAAAACAATACCCATCGTGAGAAAACACTGCTCAGATGGTTTAAACGATGTGTTCACCCTTAACCAATAAGGAGAGCCCAGCCAATCACCTCCATCGCCAATCAGTTATCAGCTAACTTGCCCAAGATCTTTGAAGTGACAAGTCTGAAGTGGTGAGCTTGACTGATGATGTGGATGGTCATTAGTGTGCGTACGACCGGGGGTCCCTCTTGGACGACAAGGCAAGTATGCAGACTTAAATCTACTTGGATGTTAATCACAAAGGGAAGCCAAGTTCCCCCCTCCACGCCAGCCTCAACACTGCAGCTTAACCCTTAACCCCACAATCGGGCCACACCTACCCTGCTTCTTCATCGGTAGGGGGTCCGCCGCCCTCTGTCCCACAGCTCCCTCTGCCTTGGGGTTGAGGATGACATACTTGGTCTTGAGCGCCTCCAGCTGGTAGGAGAAGCCCTTGCTGGCCGGCTCGAACTCAATCTTCTGCAGCAGCACCTTCTTGGCGGAGGAGGCCAGCAGCTTGTTGAGGTCACTATCATCAGCAGAGTCCTTGCGCCCCGGTTTCAGGGCCTCTTTGAGCTTGTCCACTATTGGCATTGTGCATCACTGTAACCCAGAAAGTCAGGGTCATACCACAAGGGCGAGTCAGCAATGCAACACACCACAGTGCCCAACAGCCATTGTAACACAACGTTGCACAACTGAGGAGAGTTTAAAGTTGTCGGCCTCTCAGCCTCAACTAGCCATCTTTGGTCATAAACCAAATGCCACAATTTTTAAAAAGAATTAAAGAAAATACCTACGCAACTCTCAGCATCCTCAATACGCTGTTTCATCTAAAGCCGTGTGGGCCTCACATGCTGAAAAAAGTCTCTTTAAACCACTGCAGTGCCACACTGTGTAGCTTCGCTCATCACCAAAGACGTGTGCATTTGGCACTTTTGTTCTAAAAATATACTGCAATATTCCAAAAAATGCAGATTACATGAAGACCGTGCCCTTTTCTAAAAACAAACGGAGAGAGATTAAACCTATGGAATGAGAGCAGAGAGTGAGTAAAAAGCAGAATTAAAACAGTGCCGCCAGACACAGACCTGCTCATATTTGTGATTCTAGGCATACCGTATTCTGCATGTGGTGCCCACCTTAACATTTTTCTGCAGCTCAATACAAAGAGACGCTTGACCCTCCAGCAGAGGAGACAGCACCTGACAGCAGCTGATGCCCAGCTCAGTTCTGCTCCAGTAAGTCATTTACAGAACACTGCTTCCACGTGGGCTGAAGCCACAGAACCCAGAGGAAAGTCAGTGTAGGATACTTTAAACACAGGAGGCTTCCAACAAGGAACACAGTTCATTGTTCATTTTTAAGTAAATGTATGCTTTAAAAGAATCCAATTAAAACACAGCAGGATATTCTTGAATCAAATGTATTTTAAGCTGTCTTACTTGATTTTTTGCAATAACCTTTTAACCTGTGGCTGTAGCTTTCTTTTCTTATATTATGCAAAAGCTTGGTAGCAATCCAATCCTAACAAAAGCTGCAGAACAAAGAAACCCCAATAATTAAGCAGAAGTTAGGAGCTGTTTGTATGCAATGACCAGACCAGGGTCAGACTACAACTTTGTTTTTCTCAAAGTCCTGTTCCAAATACCTTTTAAAAAGCAGTCTGCAATTTCCAGCTTTGATTATCTGCCCCCAAAAAATAACTTCCTACTCGAATACCAATAACAAGAATGAGAAACATTTTGCATCCAGGAATTGAAATTTCATCCCTACAAACAGCACATTTGTCTTGGTAGCGCAGTGGCAGCAAAGTGGCCCAGAATCCCCTCCTCCCCATGTTTAAGAACGCGAGGAACCACATAAATGATCATATGCAAAGCAGAACTTCAAAGAACACTTTAAGGAAAGACCAAATTGTTGGTGTTATTCATGCAATAAGGTTGTACAATTATGACTGACACACCTATCGGTGGCTCTTGAAAGCTGTCAAAAGCGTTCAAATTTTACCACCATAAGCAACGCTGAATGCGGCATAATTAACCTAACCTTGCATGGCAACATTCAAAAGACATTAGAGTGAAATAAGAGGCTTGTCACTATGGATAGGGCTGCATAGGAAACGCTTCTTAACAAGCTGAAAACACAGATTTGATGAAACTAGCTGTCACCATACGAAATTGGATTGCTGCTACTAAGTAGGAAATAATTTCCTCTTGAAATGGAAATGACCTGCTTCAAATAGCCTCGTATGTGGAGTTAGTGGATTTCAAAGGCGCAATATTAGAGTCATGTTTTGAACAGAAAAGGCAATTATTTGAGTGTGAGAGGCGGAATTATTCCGATTTGGAGCAACAAGCAGGAGGGACTGTTTTTATGCAAGAGACAGGGGCAACAGCGGTAAGAGAATTCATACAATCTTCTCCTCCATTTCAGCCCTCGGAGCCCAAGACTCCAAAGCGATTGTGCCCGAGCAACGCGGTACGAAACAAACATTCCTCCTCTTGAGAAATCGTTTGTTTTTGCCGAAACCTGACAGCTGATGACAAGAAGGACCACAGTGAAGTGGGGAGAGAACGAGAGGTTGGGAACATTTTCATCTGGTTAAAGAATAAAATCCCCCCCCCCCCCAACATGACGTCCGTCACCGGGGTGAAATCCTGGTCAGGCTTCACAAAGGTCTCGTTTCCCCGTGACCCACCGTTCCCAAATTCTCATCGTCTGCACTGTAGGAGACAGTAACAGCGGCGAGCTCCTGCTGATGAAAGGTACAACGTGCTGCACGACCAGGAGCGACGGGGCAAAAAAAGACAAGTGGCTAAGATTGAACGTAAACCGTTTTTTTTTTTTTTTTAAGACGGCTCATGATTTGCAAAAAGCCAAAGTCTTTCTGTTCTCAAGAGCGACGGTCACAAGGCCTGGGCATCACAGGGAGCTAGTGAGCGGCCAGGAGAAGGGGGGCTGGCTGTGGACAGCACATCACCGGCCAAGAGGAGGAAGAGGAGGAGCAGAGCTCCCCTCAGCTGCGCACTTGCTCCGACCGCAAGCTGGCAGCCCACCAAGGCAGCAGCCCAGTACAGCCCAGCACCCGGTGCATCTCTCGCGCACGCGCACACACACAGGAGAAGCCGGTGAAGTACTCCAGCAAGGAGGAAGACGCTTGATCATCAGGGGGCTCACAGTGACCAGGGAGCAGCAGCAGGCCTGGCCGTAGACGCAGATGTACCATAACCACAAGGGCAAGGTAACCTTCACGAACTGATGTGCATGATTAAGAACAGCACAGCCCTGGCAGAAATAACGCACGCACGCCCCCACTGTGATGTAACAGGAGAACAGCAGGCGCCAGAGGGGGGCTGGAGGATGACGCTGCAAGGTGTCACAGATCCCTCTCCAGATCTTAACTGTACACCAGGTCGTAGCCGGGTCCCCAGTCGGCCCCACTAGCAAATTTCCAGTCCTCCGGCCGGAAACAATCAGACTCCTCCCAGCTCACGCAGGTCCGCGGCTCGCGATCCAGAACCAGGCAGGTCATCTGGGCTCAAGAGCTCACAGCCAGTCCAGTTTACAACATCACTTGCAAGACTGACACCTGGAAGGCATTTGTTAAAAGCAGACCTGCGTTATAGCACACAGCATCTTAATTACTTCTGGACTCCGGCTGAGACAAAAGCTTTATTTTAGATCCACTGCGGAGGAAGACCCCAGTTTACTAAGACACTGTCCGTACCGACTTTAGTGGGCTTTAAATCATCTTGTTGCTGGAGAAATTAAATTAGCTTCATCCAAACCAAGTATCCAAACCAAAGCCATGACAAACAGTAAATTTAGGGAATGACCATAAAGAATACTGTCTACCCTTCCAGGCACATGCAGATAGTGATTAGGGAGATGGAGAAAAAGATTTAAAGTCACAGGACTGCAAAGTTCTTTTGGGGGATTCATGTGTTTTTATTCTGAGAGATTATCCCACAAAAGAAAAGCTTCACTTTTATCATGAAATTAAAACATCACGTATGTAAACAAGACAAGACCCATTTCTTCACATGCGTAAAGGAACAGCCAACACGAAGGCCCTCCTAGTTAAAACTTAAACATATCATGTGGAACAAGTGCTGTACTATATTCCGTCCATCCATGATTAAACTGCTTCATCCAATTCAGGGTCATGGAGAGACCGGAGCCTATCCCAGAAAACACCGGGGGCAAGGCGGGGTACACCTTGGACTGGTCGCCAGTCCATCACAGCGCACACACAGACAAACTCTCACCAGGGCCAATTTTCCCAGAAACCAATTCACCTAGCAGTATGTCTTCGGACTCTGGGAGGTAACCCACACAAACACAGGAAGAACATACAAACTTTCACGCACTGTGGCACGTCATGACACACGGCCTCTACATTTCTACATTTCCGTCTCAGGACAACACACTCACACACCTCTCTCTGAGCCAAACAGGCGATGTGCTTTATCTTCCCTATCTGCCTTCGTGATCCCCAAATGACTTGGAATTCCCAATCGTGTCTTACTGCCTGATCATACAGCAATGATCGACTAATCCCCCCTCACGGCCTGGCTCTGCTAATTGTGTCCAGTCTCCTCATGATCACAAACGGTGTAAAAAAAATACAAAAGACAAAAGACCTGACCAAGGACTGATATACTTTTAGATGATTAGCAAATTGCCCAGCACCAAGAGGCTAAATATCACGGACTCCACATCACACGCTCACAGGTTACTCAATCAGGCTGGGGTAAATTCAATTTAAAGTACAATAACAACAGTGAGAGCTGTGGCACATTCCAAACCTAAATTCTTAAACAGATCCTTGTCCTTACCTACTGCTGCCCCCATCGCTCCTGTCTCCAACCCCCCCACCCACCACCTCTCTCGCTTCCTCTGCTGGTCACTCACTTGTCCTGCGTCTGAAGGAAACACCTAAGAGGAAACCTCCAGACAGCACCGCCCCTGATCCCCTCCCAGCCAAGGTTCGCTGGTTTATCAGCAGGCTTTGTGACTTACTGCCATAATCTCCATGCCTTGTTCCGTGCTTATGAATTTCCACTCACTGTGTACTGTAATTCAGAGCCACGCATTTTGAGTTTTGTCACTTACTGATAACGTCAAATAACGTAACTCACATTCGTATATACGACCCTGCGTGGCAGAACTATTTCAATATTTTACAGCACACTGAGTCTACGTCACCTTCCATCAAGGCTTGAGTTAAATTACCATCAACAATACGAGTAAAAGACAGGGAGACATGTCGCTGTGTGCCCTTTTAAGACTGGCATCCGCTGAGGGGTATGACCTGAACAGCCCAGATTACTTGTGTATTGAAGTTAAGTAATATGACCTCTGAATTCTTCTAGATCGCCTCATTACCGAATCTAACTGTGCAAGCTGCCATTTGCATACAAAAAAGAGAAATAATGATTACACGACCAATGACCAATTATTTCTGCCACGCAGTATGACAACACGAGAAGCTGTGTCAGAAGAATGAAAGCAAGAACTGGCTGAAGGATTCCAAACAGGCAGAAGCGCTGAAATATACCTCCTGAAAACTGACTGAAGGAAAATAATCTTCATCCCATGTTTAGCGGGAAGATGAAGCTCTCTGCATTCCGAGACAATCCCCCTGCTGGCTCCCTCCTAACACCTGAACCCTGCTCCCAGATCTGTGCTCTGCAGATCCGTCTCCGGAGGAAACGTGTGGGCCCAGCAGAGCTACACGTGGGACCCCGGCTGTCCGTCAGATACCACAATCACTCTACAGTCTCTTCGAGCACTAGAAAACACTCTGCATTTGGGGAATATTAAGAATACAGCAGGAGATAGTTTGTCATAGTGACCCCATATCTATTTACAAAGGGATAGCATCGCTGTGCGACACGGAACTGTACAAGGGCTAAGATGGAGACTTTTTTAAAATCATCTTTGCTACAACTAAAAGTCTCGATCCTACACTAAGTTACAGCTTTACCACCGGCACTGTACTACCTTCCTAACACCATGATCACATTTGCAGAGACATCGTCGTCGACATCAGAAAACTACCCCAAAGCCCTAAACGAATCCTGTCTCAACATCAGTAACTCGCCCTTTAAAAACATTATGGCACCAAAAAAAGAATGTATACAGGTATATAATATAATTATTAGAACAGCACCAGCTACCGTGCACTGGGAATCGCGCTACATCTGTGTGCTCATCACACTGTGAAAATATTCAGACCGGGGGCGATTTTAATTTTCTTTCAAGAAAAATCACTTAACAAAAAAAAAAAGTGACAAGATAATAAAAAGAAATCAAATTTAAAAAAAAATCATTTTAATATGAACTAGAGGCCCGAGGGCTATGCGTTACTAAAGCACGCTTCTCACTGCATCAGAAACCTGCTGTTTAAAGAATGACAAAACTGTGATTGTATTCGACCGTGGAATTACAAACGATTGACGAACGTTTCAAAACCACGCAACACAATTTGCCCAAGAAAACAGACTATGCTGTAAGGATGCGTTAACCAGAGCCTGAAATAATATCAGTAGTGTTGTAATATGACTGTTCCCATGTAACGTGTAGGGCAGACCGTGTAGTCTGGCCACTGTAGACATTGCAGTTCTCCAGAACAACTGTCCAAAATGGAAACGAGCGTCTTCGTCACGCTGAGGTACACCTCACGAAAACACGACACGATGGCGTTTCGTGTACCGGACTGTCGAGACCGTTATCTGGGCAATGGACGTTTAAAGAAGCGCCGGGCAAACGCGTGGAAGGAGGCGTTATGTGCCGAAACGCACGACCCGGATTTCCTCGGGCAGCTGCGCCTCACCCCCCACGTTGCAGTCACGGGAGACACGTTTTAAAGACGAGGCAGCTCTGCGGGTCCGGCGTGGGGCCGGGGACACGCGGAAGGGAAACAAAATAAAGATTCAAAATATAAAACAAGAAATAGAGGCGAAAAGGCGCCGTAGCGGTAACAGCGGCTCACGGTTGTTTCCAGTAGTTGTGCCCACTATCGTAATGCGAAACGGACTGGTTTTAAAAAAGCGCACAGAGAAGCATGCCTCTTAGATGAGTCGCGACAGCACTACTGAGATTTTGTTGTTGTTGTTGTTTTATTTTTTACTTGCACCAGCAAAGCGAATAAGATCCCTCACGCACACGGGCAGCAAAATCAACGGGTGTACCTGAGCCGTGCAAGGTATTGGGCCATTGAATACTAAAAGAGCAATACACCGTGCCGAAACAAGCCGACTAACCTACCCCTGCCTCCCAGCGCAGAAACCTAACAGGGTTACCACCACCACCCTGCGATTAAAAAATAAAATCATAACTATACAATGTCGTTTCTACCCCGCAAACTACACCGGTTTTTACATACTCTCGGTCTTTACCTTGCGCTGTGGTCTTCACAAAGCGATGTCCCTTGTTTTTTTTTACAGAAAAGTTTGCGGATCGCCGCTCGGTTTGCTACAGTACCTGGATTTTGTTACATTCGATCCTCCATGCTGCAACATAGGAGGGCGTGGGAGGGGGGGGGGGGCAAGCATGAGTGGCACTCCCTGGGGCCAATCAGATCGCCCGGAATCGGTATACGTCAGAGTACGAGCAGGTCATTTTTAGCCAATCGGAGACGACAGTGGGAGGTCCTGGGTGCCAACTTTCCGGAGGATTCCATTTTAAAGTTGTTTGTTTACACCCTGGTTTGCTCAGTGCCGGGAAAATGTAGTTCTAAAGTAGTTCAATGTTACTCGTGCGAATACCTAATTTCACAAGGCGAATAGTGAGCATGTACCTAATTCATCGCTGGTAGTTCCATACATTTCTTTATTACGATGGCACCTTGGGCAGGTCTTCATCACGCACTAAATTGAAAAAGTCTTCCACAGGCCGTGATGGATGATGACCTACCGCTTTTAAATAGACCCTTACGCACCTTTCCCACACGTATGATTTGCGCGTCACGTTTAAATTCTTGCCAAATTGCAAAAGCGCGCTGCAATATTCTTAATCTTTATAATACCTTTCTACATCCAAGAGGACTCCTGAGAAACAGGCTGAATAAAGAACTGTAAATTCACTGCGCCAAGGCCATCTAGAATAAGTCTAGGAGGTGACATTATATTTTATGTTAATTCCTGACCTTGACCTCCTGACATTTAACAACATAGTGTTTGGTTTGCAGATAAACCTGAATTATATTTATTTTGGGGGGCAGGGGGAGAGAGTTCCTGAATATAACTGTAAAAGTGCAGTCTTTTTACAGCCTTCCAATACAGTGCAAACCTCATCATATAACCACAAAGCTGACTGAAGTACAAAATTAAAACAAATGCAACTTAATATTAGAAATACACCATGAGTGCATAAGTCAGTGATACTGACTTGTCCCTGTGTGTGCACACCTCACTATTGGACTGACTATTGCCCCGTCTAGCACATTGTGGTTCTGGGGGGTGGCCATCACTGGCAATAGGAAGCTTTCTGATAATGAATAATGAAAGTCAGATAAATGTATGTATCATGGTTTTGAATAAGGAGATATATTAGTGCTTTTGACAAAAAAAGTTTTAAAAAAACATTCTTCCATGCATCTATTTTCAAACCGCTTCTTCCCTGGCAGAGCTGGAGCTTGTCCCAGCAAGTCAGGGTACACCCTGGACGGGACACCAGTCCACCACAGGCACAAACTCACACCAGGGCCAGTTCTCCCAGAGGCCCATTAACTTACCAGAATTCCCTGGACTGTAAGGGGAAACCCACACAAACACCGGGAAGAACATGCAAACTCCACACAGATAGCATCCCAGATCAGGAGTCATTGCTAATCACAGTGCCACTGTGCGGCCCGATTGACAAAAAATTATAATTCCTTGCATGTATATAATGATAATAATTCCATACACTTATATACCCTTTTCCTGAAACTCCACTCGAAGCGCTTTACAAGTAATGGGGATCCCCTCCACCACCACAAGTGTGCAGCTCTACCTGCATGATGCAACGGCAGCCAAAGTGCACCAGTACACTCACTCAGTACATTCTTCAGGTGAAGAATTAGACACAGGTTCACCAGTGATATTAAAGAAGGATGTTTATTTGGGGAGGCCAGACTGAACAAGCCCAAATAGGAGTTTAGCCTGGACACCAGGGCTTAGACCTCTGCTCTTACTGACAGTGCTCCGGGACCTTTAACGACAAGGTCGTCTGGACCTTGGTTCAATGTATCACCTGAAGGACGCCACCTAGTGACCCACCAACACCCCTTACCAAAGCAACCACAGCTCAGCGGTTTGGGTGAAATTATTCAGATAAACCCACCACAAAGAAATCCAAGTGATTATTTTCACCCATAAGCAGTTTTATGCCATACAACATCTTTAAATGCAATGTGCTTGCCCTCCACTGTCTCATCCCAACAATAACCCCAGGCGGCACAGCTCTGGACTGAAAACACAAATGCTGACTAGTATCACCATCCTCTGTGAATTCCTGCAGTGATGAACTTTTAAAAAGCTCCATCTTGGTGAAAATACTGGAAGGGAAAAAGGTGTTTAATGGAAAATGTGTAACAGTAAAAAGCTCACAAAAGTAATCCAACACATTAAAATGAAGAGGATCAAGTGGTACCTTCAGATACGCCATATTTTGTTTTCAGTGGTGTAAACCAACTAGACAGTTAATGCAGCATTTCTTGGAATCCCCAGACTAAAGTGTACAACAGCGAAAACGTAGAACTGGTATTTGAGTAATTATCCCAGAAATGTATCTTCTAGTTGTGGAAAGAGAGGTATTGTATATGTGGCAGTCAAAATAACTTGTCTTTTGGATCACTGGTGATCAATCGAATAGTAGTTCAGTGCCGTAATACGGTAAATACACCACAACAGCAAATCGCACCTAAGGTCATCCTCTAGAAAACAGACTCACTTCACTTAACGTGAACATTAACTGGTTCAGTTAAGATGAATATAAAATTATTTTAAGAATTTACTACAGTATTCAGCAAAGTGACAGTAACGCTGCCTCGTTTACCCGAATTTGCCTCCTTCTTGATTCGAGTCTATTATGCGACGTTTGAAGATTTGACCAGATACAGCAAATGCACGTTAATACAAACCAGACTTAGAACAAGATGAAACAGCTCTCACCTCAAGGCCAAACCCAGAGCTCCGGGTCTCCATCTTACCTAAAAATCGTGGTTTGTGTCTGTATCCCGGCTCCGAAGCTGTGGGGAGTCTTGTGAGAATAACACCGAAAGCCTTTTCTCTGTACAACACACACAACACAAATTTACTCCTCAATTCGCAGCACCCGGCTTCTCAAACGACACCGTATTTTCGCGAAAATAACCGCATGAGCTCCAAGCCCCACCAAACTCCAGATTGTAAACAACAACGAAACATTTTTAAACCGATTTCTGTATGGTGTTCATTGTACACGTGTGGCGTCGTTCTGTTTTTTAAAATATAATTTGCCAAATCTTGCTCGGTAAGATAACGTCGTTTAGTGCAGTCTCTTGTAGCCTTTGCTCTTCGTTAAACACGCCAATGTGCGGTTAAAATATATCCGTCATACGTTTTATTTGTATCTTAAAAAAATACATGAGCCTCATCTTTTTCATATTTGTTTTTCAGGTCATATATTTTATGTTTTAGTCCATCCAGGCTTTCAGTGTAGGCCTACATCGTGTGATATATAAATATAATCAGTCTTACTGGTGTGCTCGATTTATCCGAAGAATATCATAGGTAAGAGGGCTGTAATGGCAATGAAGCACAGCCTGTTTTGTGTTGTTTTTGTGGTAATATTGTAATTAAATAGTGCGACCACAAGTAGGCAGTCTTTCACCACATTAAATCCCCAGAAATGTGTTATTCAAAGCAACATCCTGTAGGATTTCATCTTCATCTCCCTTTTTACACTTAAATCCGTAAAAGAGTGGATAGAGTTCCATTTGTTAACGTCCCTTCCGTGCGTTTGAAGGTAATGAGTAAAAATAAACAACGAAAGGATATGGGTTAGGAAGGATGCAATTTAATTGCTGCTATGATAAAGGTTCTTTCATAGACTACTAAAAAAACAGACTTCTAGATGCAAAGAAAATATTTTGTCGAACACATTGGGTGAAAAGTCCGTGTCGAAACAAAAACCTCTAACATGGGCAGTTCATTTTAAAAACTACTAATATCAAGGGATTTGTAGGTCCTTATTTAGTTCAGTTAAAAGGGGTTGAGGAGAACTGAAATTACTTTTACTTCCGATGACCAAATCTGTTGCCATTTTAAAATCCAGGTCAATAAGACGCATGTGAATTAGCCATAGTCCAGGGAGGGAGGTTATCTTATAAGAAATGAAGAGACATGTTATTCTAAATTTTTATTTGATAATACTGTATATTTAATCCATTGACTGTATGCCCACATATGAATTATACAAAGCGTCAAAGACATGCATAGTCTGGTTTTCATTTTACAATGGCTCTCATGTGTCTCCAGCACAAGAAATCTCACTCTTCAGCAAACATCAGAGAAAGAAGAAAAAAAAATACAATAAAAAAATAAAATGGCCAAATAAAGAAAAAACACAGATCACTCAAGATTTAAATTATGCGTTTTCAGATACATCTAGTACTTGAATAGCAACAAAATACTAAAAATACCATGTAAACTTTTGCTTTCACTTAACAGGTCTTGTAGGATGAATTTCTTTACGCAAGACAGAAATGTGTGTTTAAAGTAATGGACTGTTTTTTAGCAGATTTGCCATTACTGTCTGGGACCTGAATGCAGATAATTACATCTCCTATTATTTCAAACAGTTGAATATCATTAGAGCAACACTCTGCAGCATTTAAAATCATGTTGCTTGGTGTTTTATCAGACCAAGATAGTTTGACTAAACCTCTAAGTATTGATTTCCCCCATCTGAAATGAACTTATGTGAAATCTGGAACTTTTACTAATGGCTGGGATGAACCAATGTTCAATAAATGTAAAAAAAAAAAACATCACTCATCCTTAAGTAAAGTGTACTTATTTATCAAACCCAATTAATCAGTTAACAGGCTGTAGTACAGTTCTTGTTGAATGATGCCTGCACTTTGCCCTTCATGTATATGGAGACACAGTAACTTACCCTACAAACATCTCTGCAAGACAGCTACTTTAACATATTGCCACAGATCAGTTTATTTTCAGTGATACAAATGCATAAAACTATTACGCAATTAATTCCAGAGATTTCAAAATGACACTGAGAGCAATCAAACTGCACAACCCAGCGGTCTGGAGTCACTGCGATATTTCTCCAGCAAAGCACTGTGCGTTTATGAAAATGGCGTGATACAATAGTCTTTGCTTAGGAAACTGTCTTTTTTGAGAAACTATATTCCATAGTGATTTTAAGAAAAAAATATCAGTATGAAATGCAAAACCAGGAATACTGCTTTTTAACAAATCACCATGATCAATATGGTGTAGGCGTTAAGAGTATTGGGAGAATGAATGAAGAATATTATGATACTGAACACCCTGGATGCTTCCTTATAAACGTACTCTATATTTCTAAATCGCAATACTTGTTAATGCTCCAGGAATCAGATTTCTAAAGATGGATGTGCATTTATACCTGACCTGAAGCAATGGGATATGAAGTCAAAGAATACATTCCTTTATCATTTCACTTGTTTAAATTGTTCCTTTATTTGGTTTCAGTCTCCTGAAACACACTCTATAAAGTAGTTCCTGGCAATGAACACGGTTATGAACAACATATGGTTTCCTAGACATCACAATGTGTGCTGTGGGTCATCATAACCTCGAGCCCTGCCTTACAGCAACTCAACATACACAAATTGTGGGGGGGGGGGGGATTTGAAGTTTCTATAGTACTTTAAAGAAAAAAGAGAGAATAAAAGCATTACATGAAAGTAGCAAGACCAAACAATAATATTAGAAAATCAATTGTATAAAGAACTAGAAGGTTACAAAACAAAAATTACAAAAATCAAGAAGAGGATTCAATCCTCCCTGTTTGAGACCTTCGTCTTTTGACCAAATGTCTCGACTCCTTAGAAAGTGCAAATCTAAAAAGGTCTAACCAAGATTATTAATAATTATAATAAAAAAGAATTTAAAAATATATGTATAAAAATAACAAACGTATATGCATAGGTACTGTACAGGGGACAGGAAGACAATGTGGACAGAGGATAGGCCATAGGAGCGTATAGGAACAACCACAGCAAGCGAGGCTCCATTACTTTATTGACAAGGCATAGACTGGACCAGTGAGACATCAGGAATCCCCTCGAGGAGGAGAAAGGTCAAATCTGTCACTGAACTACTGTTCAAATTGTGGAACACGATTACATTCCTTCATTTCCTAGCGAACTGAGGTTTCTCCGAGGGCTGAGTCTGGGTCTCGGCTTTCGCTTCCACCACAACGCCACAAACGCGACTGGGTTTCCAAATTCTGGTCACGACTACCTCGTGCGGACGGTTTCTGGCGACGGTTCACTCGGCCGGTATTCCAATCTGCCCTGTTCAAGGTCTAAGACCAGGAACAATCCCGCCCTGGGAAGAGTCTGCTGCTTTGGCAGAGGAGAGGCTGTGCCAGCTGTGCCCAGAGAAGCTGCTTCTGTACATTCACACCCCTGCACACTGCCAGCCAGCTCCCAGCCCCAAATACCCACAGTCCTCTTCACCCTGACATCAGCACTCCTGACGCCACAGGGGGCAGAAGGCCCAGCTGACTTGCAAACAAACAGTTTCAAACACTGATAGGCCTCTTATGTAAGACCTACTGTATGTCAGCAAACCTCTATTTCATGGCTCAGACTAAATCATGCCCTTTTACGACACGTAACAGTTTAAGAATTCCCAACACGTGTGAAAAGCATCGTGAGCACTATTTTATTTTCAACAGGGTATCTCTTGGTGAACCGAGAAAGTGCTAAAGGCAACGACTGGAAGAACGCACAGGTCAGTTCTTTATTGCGTCTCAAAACTGCTAGAAATGAGTAGTTCAAGCCTTTGGTTCAAAATTTCCATCTCATAAACCATGCATTTTTTTTTTTACACATAATGCTGTCATTCAGAAACAAACATCACAATATTCTGGGAAGTCCCGCCTCACCATGAATCTGATTGGTTCAAGCTGCATGGTTATGAGAAACAGGAAATGTTCAGTGAGATTTGACCTTTGGAGATTTGGCTTTCAACAGGATAAACAACACCTTTGTTGTGGACAAAGATATTGTTATAGCCTTGCTATAAGTAAAGCACAAACCAATGTTTGGTAGGTTATTTTAATTTTGCTGTATTATTTTTTTTTAAAGAAGAATAAGCGCTTTTTGGGGCAGAAAGTGCTGTCCTCACAAGATTGTCCCTCACACACTGCCGTAGTTGCTGCAAGGCTTCTTGAGGAAGTGACGTCATCACTCGACCAGTCTACATCTGTTACGTTTTAATAATCTCACTGTTTATTTAATTATTTATAATGCTCTTTTTTTTCTTCTTATCGTTTCGCAGGCGGTGTCTGCCGGCGGCGCAGAGGGCACGCGTGGGCGGGCGAGCGGGGGGGGTGGGGGTGGGGG